AAAGAAGTAAAGTTACAAAGGAGATGAAAATGAGAGAAAAGGCAAAAGGAAAAGCAGTGGCTGTCACAAAGCGAAGATAGCCCCATTATTAATCCTGGGCCATATTTATGTAATCTCTCGTCCGAGGGCAATGTTTTAATCCATTGTTTGCTTGTGAAGACGGGATTATTAAGGATAGCGTGAAGTTGTAATAAAGTTTTTGATTTTTATGATTATGTTCGATTTCAAATGATTTTTCTTTAATAGAGTATGGGAAGAATGTTTTTATAAATATTATAATAAGTATCGCAAGATTATTCAGATTGAATTCTATATAATTGTTATGACAACATAAAATAATAATTATAAAAAATTTTCGTAGGTTATATAATTAAATGAGAATGCAATTTATTACTAAAACACTTTCTTTATTTATAACGCCATTTATTTATGATAGTTAACAACTTATGAATAACTTATGATATATAAAATGGTATTTTATCCTGAAAGCATTACAAAAATATTAAATTATAAAAATATCTATGTTATATAGTAACTCGTGTTGGTATCGATTAATCGTGTCAATAACATAATCAATCAATTAATTTTAAATTTTCAAAATTTATTATATTTTTTGTTTTATAAATATAATTAAAGAAAGAAAATAATTAATTTATTTTTAGATATATAATTTGTAATCTTAATATTTAAATTAAATATATTGAAGAAAAATAAAGAACTTTATTTGGATGAATCAGATGATTGAATTGAGTTATTTATGAAGTTGATTGAATTACTTAATTTTAGGTGATATTCAAATAGTCCAAAAATATGAGAACACAAATAGGGTTGATCTAGAGTGACCAAGAGTTTGGCTAAACCAAATCGATTACTGAAATTAAATATAAATTTCAATGTTAAAAATACTTATGATAAATGTAATGTAGTCCAAGCTCCAATTAATCATATTAAGAATGCTTTTACTACGACATGTTCACTGATTTATGAATGTTTATGTATATGTTCTTTAATATTAATTTATGTTGACAAAATGATTGTAAGAGTATTCAGTAAATTCAAGGTTCTCAGAACTGGATTGTACGTTATCGAATCGATCCGATTATTTGTTCAATGATTTATTGGTTGGACCAAGATTTAATTTATCAATAATTTTAATATATATATATATATATAATACTCTATTATAAATTTATATAAAATTACAAATCAAATATCATAACAATTTAAAATTTTCAAAATTTTAAATTAATTGATAAATAAATTATAAATCTTCATTTTATTTAAATATGTAATTAAATAAAAATAATTTTTTTAATGTAGCAAAAAGTTCTTTAAAAAATCGTACCGATCCTACCAGTTCAATTAGCTGGCGTGGACCGCTTCGCTAGCAACCATTTTATTCAAGCAAACCCAACCAATCAATAAAAAGGTTCTCGGTTCATCCTGTCGAGCTGTTAGATCAGGTCCAATTTTCAAAAATGAACATAAGTCCTTTTCAAAATTCTGATCAGCATTTGACAAGTGACCATCACCAACCAGAAAAAAATTGAGTATCAATTTAAATCACGAATCAAAAACAACGAACAATTAACGAACATCACTCTATCAGAATCACATTGTCCGAATTTTCGTGCCTTTCTATTGGAATAGAATAGAACTTTTTGCTTGACGTATGCCAAAATGTTTCTATTTGTGGCACTTGTTAAATTGTTCTTATGGTATACTTGTGGCATATATCAACTCTTGCTTGCTATCAAAAATCAATGACAACTTTTTGTGACAAAACGAAATCGCCATACGATTATAAGATGCTGATTCTAGCTAGCCGCGGGTAGTTTGTCTTGTCTAAGTCCCATCACCAATTGCGCTTTGGCCAAAACGAATTGAACTACTCGAGCTCTTTTTTCTCCTTTACCTTCGACCAAATTTCACGTCGTTAATGCCAGATAAAAAGGATTTCGGTTATAGTTTTCCTTGCGAGGGCCCGGGACGAGGGGGTACTTGTGATATTTCGGCATGGGATGCATTTTATTTGGCAGTTTTTTGGATGTTAAATACTATGGGATGGGTTACGGGGCTAAGGTCTAAAATATAGAAGAAAGAAGCGTTTCCACCACTCTATCACTCAGCCAATTCTGTTCCGCTTAATCCCTCTTTCATAGCCACATATCTTTCCAGCTAAGGTAGTTTAGTTAGTGGCGAATTTATTTTCAATCTCGAAAGTACAGGTTTTTGTACTTTTTCCAACAAAATGAAGTCGGAATAAGAGATCAAAACATCGTGGTGAATCTATTTTCTGTCTCGAAAGTACAGGTTTTTGTACTTTCGAGTTATTTTTTATTAAAAAAATTTACGTATGGTTAGCTTTGTTCTTTATGTAAAAAAACAAGAAAATAAACGGAAACAAAAAACTACTTAGATGATTTTTGGATGCAAATAAGTAAATTTACTCCAATATTTAGGTTGTGATTTTTTATTTTTCTCCACAAGGGTGTTGGGTTAGGTCTAACAAACTTCTTTGTTATGGGCTAAAAATTAATGGGACAAGGAGAATCCATTTTCATGTTGTTCAACCTGTTTAGGCCCATATATTTATTGACATGTAAACTTCAGATAGTCTATCTTGGGCTCTGGATCAAAGATGAACTAAAAACAGCCCACTCTATTTATATCCAAATGAAAAATATTATTTATGGTAATTGTGGCCCGGCCCGCCATGTCTGGTAATAGGTTCGTAAAATCTTGAATCGAATCTACAATTGACACGAATATAATACCATATGAGTACGTTATGTTATAGCTCATTGTTGCAAAGATCACCGATATTTTTATTTTACTTTTCTATTCGTAATCTTATTAATACAATCTAAATCAAAATTACTACACAATATTAACATCAACTTTAATAATGATTTTATTGTTATATTTACTTACGTGTAATCTTCAAAATATTTTGAACTTTAGTTTTGTTTAACATTATTTTTCTTTTTAAAACATTATTCTATTAGAAAATACTATAGTCCCGTTGACGTCAGTAGTTTCTACGTAGATACAGAACTAATCTACACAAAACTAATCTACATGTATACCTTCAGTAGAAACTACTGACGGAACCATTCCTTCAACGTAGTCGTCCTTCGATCTTAATAAATGACGTCATGCTTACCATCACTATTACTTCACAATCCACAATAATCTCGATGTATTTAATTTAGCAATATATTAATTTTTGTTAGCGGTGGAATCTTCTATGCCATGTCATCTATGGCTGCGGAAGGATTTAACGCGAGATGACGTGGCCGTGACATGGTGGCTGTGTAATTTTTGAAATAACCATTGTGAGAAGTACCAATAATGTACTTATACTCGTGAAAATGTGAGTAATTAATTGTATAATTTGTTGAAGCTCTGCAAGCAGACATGGTGGATTTTATTTATTTATTTATTTATTATTATTCTTTTATGGAGGTAGAACTTTCTTGACATATGGTGGAACTAGGCCACTTATAAGTTGTCCCACACCGTTTTTATAAGTATAGTGGGCTACTTCACCTTCCACCAATTAATTTTGAGATGAAACTTTATTTGAACTTCATCTGACACTTTCCCTGTTATGGTGCGCTTCATGTACGTGAGACCGCACTATCAATGACTCGTCCCCTACTTTTACATAAAATCAACTTTAATCGGTATATTATAAATGTTATTTCTTATACAAACTCCAAAATCTCATCATACTTAACTCATTCAAGTTTAACAAAATTAAACACTACTTAACTAACAAATCCAATAAAAACTAAGATAACATATTAAGGTCTGATGGATATAAACTATCCAGTTATGACTGATCAAAATAGTAATAATACAAATCAATCATCTCCATGCATCATATCACCTTAACATTAATTTACTAATTTATTAAATTACATAATTTTAACTAATAATCTCTTTCAAGCACATCTCTCATACTTCTCTCGTAGTGTGACATTACATCAGCTTTAATCATTATATTATAAATGTTACAAACTCAAAATCTCATTCAAACTAAAATCGATCTAACCTTTTTCTAAATTAACCCTCTTTATTCAGTTAACCCAATCAAATTTAAAATAACTTATAGTCAATCGGGCCATTAGCAAAACGGTGTTTAGAAGAAAAAAAAAA